AAAGAGCCTGCTCTCATGGGATTGATATTCTCCACAAATGATTTGCGCTCAGCTCCTAACCAAAAGGTTGCTGGTTTGAACACACTGAGGGCCCAGGAACAAAGGGTTGGTGACCTACTCCCGCACAGATGACAACCGAGAAAACCCCACGGAGCAGTTCTGTTGCAACACATGGGGTCGCCATGACTCCCAATCCACTCAACTGCATGGTAACGGATTTGGTGTTTTGCTGGGGCCGGGGGAGTGTGAGAGAAAATAAACAAGTAAATATATAAACATGTCACTCTATGTAACAGTCCTTTGTGAGGTCCTGTAGGTGTGTTGGGAACTCTGGTGCCACAGTGATTAAAGAATTGGGCTGCTAACCGAAAGGTCACTGATTGATTGGAGCCCACCTGCAGCTTGGCAGGAGAAAGATGAGGCAGTCGGCTCCCATAAAGACTGACAGCCTTGGAGACCCTGTGGTGCAGTTCCACTCTGTCCTCTAGGGGCGCTGTGAGTCGGAATCAACTCCAGGCACTGGGTTTGCTTTGGGTTTGCATCTGTAAAGACTGACAGCCTTGGAAACCCTGTGATGCAGTTCCACTCTGTCCTCTAGGGGCGCTGTGGGTCAGAATCGACTCCACAGCAGTGGGTTTTGTTTTCTGTTGTTTCGCAGGTGTGTTGCTCTCGGTCACATGTTCCTTGGCTCTCATTTCAGGGCTCTCACCTCCAGGTTTGCTTCCCGGGGGCAAAAGGTGCTGAATCTGCTGAGAAAAGATTCTCGTTTCAGGTCAGTGATTGCTCTTACTTTATTATGAATTTAATCAAGTACAGTGCAAATGTTTAGCACGTGGACTGAGGGCACGTTGGCCGGGTTTCAATCCTGATCCTTCCACTTTCTAGCCGTGTGGCTTTGAGCAAGGTCCCAAACCTCCCTGGACCTCAGTCTCCTCATACATAAAGGGGCTAGTAACAGGACCCACCTCACAGGAGTGTTTTGAAGGTTATTTGATTCAAGATTTGCAAAGGATCTAGCACAGAGGTCCTGCCTACAAGCTTTTTTAAATGCATTTTATTGAAATATAATTTATGTACAATGAAATACACAAAATTAAAGGGACATGGGTCACTTTTTGCAGTGTTCCTACCCCTCCCCTCCCACCCCTGGCAATCAACAAAGAAAGTTTCCCTCCATATATAACCTTTCCTGGACCTTCCACAACAACAAACTAATACTGTATTTGTCCTTCTGTGATTGACTTATTTCACTCAGCATAATGTCCTCCGAGTTCATCCATATTATGCAGTGGTTTGCAGACTCTACATTATTCTTTAGTGCTGCATAGCATTCCAGTATGTGTGTGTACCATAGGTTGGTCATTCACTGTTCTGCTGATGGGCATGTAGGTTGTTTCCATCTTTTAACTATTGTAAATAGTGCTGCCGTTCAGTCTGCCTACAAGCTTTGCTGGGAAGATTCACAAGCTTGTGTTCTCAAGGCTGTCAATCTTTACGGAAGTAAACTGTCCTGGTTCCCTAGTGCTGCTCTGACAGGAATATGCCACAAACAGGATGGCCTTAACAAACAGGAGTTTATTCTCTTACAGTTTGGAGGCTTGAAGTCCAAGTGCAAAGTGCCAGGCTCTAGGGGCTGGGTGAAAGCCCCTCAACCTTGGGGTCCAGCTCTGCCTCCTGCTCCCAGCCCACTGGAGCT